CCCTTTCACTTCTGCTCCGCCTCATGGGCCACTGCGGCCACCTCGATGGCGGCGGCGGCGTGCTCATCCCCAGCAGCCTCGGTGGCACCGGATGGGACGGTCACGACCGTGCTCCCACCGGGAGCCATTTGCGTCACGTTCTGGATGGTCGTGCCAAGTCCCGGCAGCGTCAGCAGCTGGAAGGGGCTCACCACCTTCACGACCGTGCTGCCGTCCTGGACCGCGGCCGTGCTCAGCACCGTCAGGTTGGAAGCGTCCGGGTGGATCTCCACCGTACCGGGGAAGGTGGAGCCAGCGGAGGCAGGTACCGTGTACCCTCCCAGCAGCGGGGAGGCCGGGGAGCTGGCAGCGGGAGGCTGGGACGGGCTCTTCCCCAGCACCGAGGGTGGGAGGGCTGAGACCACTTTGCTGAGAGGGAGGTTGGCAAGCTGGGAGACCGGCACGCCGGGGGTGACGGCGAGCTGTGCCGGCTGGGACAGGACTTGGGACGTGATGGCAGCTGGTCCGGAGGTGGCCCTGGTCAGCCTGGGACGTTTTAGAGGCGTGGGGACGGAGACGGGCGTGAGGGTCATCAGGACGTTGTTGAGGTGCTGCGATTTGTGCTTCAGCTCCTTCGCTCGCTTGCGGTGCTCGTCGCACTGCTGCTCCAGAGCTGGACAGAGAGGAGGGTCTGCTCAGCCTGGACCCGGGATGGGCTTCCCAGGGACCACGGCACCGCCTGGAGCTGGTTTAGCACCCACCAGCTTTAACACAAACCCCCCTTATGCAGAAAGAAAATGAGCTGGCAGTGACGAGAAGTGCCGGAGCACCAGCGTGTCCCTGGGGCATACCTGCCAAATCCCGCGTGTACTGCTCCCTCGAGCGATCCATCTGACACTTGTGGCTGGCCAGGACCTTCTTGACCAGATCCAGCATACCGAAGTTCTGGACTACGTTGTTGAGTAAAACAGCATCTTAAAAACAAGACACAGATCTTTGAGGACAGCAAAACTCCCTATGCAGAGTATTTGCAGCTTGGTAAAAGGCCATACGACAGCAAACACATTCAGCTGAGATGGCCAAAATCTGCGGGAGGGTAACGCAAGAGGCTGGGGAAGAGGAGAAGACAGGAGAAGTCAGGAGAAAGTGCAAGAGGTCACTCGCGTACGAAGAGCCCTCTCCTGCTCAGCAGGGGCGATAAGAAACCTGCTGGCACAGTAGCTGGTTGCTGCATCATTATTTGGTGGCCTAAATTCCACCTCAGCTCCCGAGCCAGGCGTTTGTCCAGACCCAGAGCCAGCACACAGGAAGCCCCAGGCACAGGGAACTGGAGAACTGAGGCCTCCTGAAGCGTCCCCGAGCGCAGTCAAGAGCCTGTCCAGGCAGCAGCCAGAAATGAGATTTACTTATGATGATAATGCCACCCAGATACCCCTAAGGAGAACAAAAAAAATCTACCAGCCCCTCTCCCGAGGGGGACCCGTGCCCAGGTCCTTACCACCGAGCTGCAGCGGGGGATCCTGCGCTCGCTGCTGCAAGCCCTTCATGGTCTCCACTAGCTCCTGGTGGAACTCCTGGATTACTTCTTCCAGGAGACCCGTATCCTTCAAGCCTCGCCAGAAAGCAAAGGTGTCATCTAGAGAAAAAGAAAGCAAGGGAGAACCTCAGAATCCTCCGAGGTGGTTTTAATGCTCTGGGTTCCCCTGCTGGCCCCTGCAAGGGGGAAGCCCTTCTGTGCTGCAGGGACAGGGCGCCGGAGCAAAGCCCAGCCACAGCGTGTGCCCGAAGCAGGGGCAGCTGGAAAAGGACACGTCTCCCCATCCTCTGCCACACAAACAGGACACCAGTGCTACGGAAAAGCCCGTTGCTCAGTGTACACCAGAGGAGCAAGAATGGTTTTATGACCTGTTGGGTTTTTTTTTCCCCCTAGAGCCAGGCCAAGCACGTGGCCGACGCTTTGACATCTTAGCGCTTAGTGACAACTTCATCCCACGACGATGGCGCAGTCAGACTGCACAAAGGCGGGATATAACGCAGCCCGGTGCGCCGGTACATGGCAAAGGAATAATCCCAGCGGGGGCTCAAGCTGGGCTGCTCTGGGCAGACAGGTCCTGCTCCTCATCCCTGCTGTTTCCCTCCTTCCCCCGCCATCCTCTGCCTCGGGCGCGCCGAGCCCGGCGGGATCCCAAGCTGTACCTCCGACGCTGGTGCTCCAATCGTTGGCATCCTCGCACGTTTCTATGGTAATCGTAGCTGGGGATCCGTTCACTGCAACCAATAGCAAAAAAGAAAAGAAAAAAAAAAAAACCCAAGTCCTGATTTTTCTCTTTATTTTCCACGGGCTGTTTCTGAGGGACACGCTCCCTTGCTGCATTTCTGTGACTTCTCATTTTTATTGCATAGGACCACTTGTATTTGAACGTAGCTCTCGAAGCTGAACGGAGAGAGACGCCCCAGCGGCCGGTGAAGCCGCAGGCGGTTGCTGTGCCAGCAGTACTTATTTTTCCACATTGGAGTGCAACACCCCAGGGATTGCTTCTGCAACCCTTGCACAAGAACACATGCCCAAGAGCCGCGTTTCCCTCCCGCGCCCCTGCGTGCACACTGGTACTGCTTAGGGCAAAAGTCAAGCAGATTTAGAGACTGATTTCTTTGGCAATCCTTTCTTGCCCAGGTTACAGTTTGGGAGACTGGGATGTCTGGGGGGTTTCTAAAGCATCCCCCCTCCCTCCCCCCAGCTCTGCTGAATCTCAGCGGTTTTGTTGCCATAGAGCTGGGGGAACCGGCATCGTTCGAGCCGTGCGCGGGAGCGGGATGAATGGGAATCCAGCCGGAGATCCGCGGTGCCGCATGGAGCCTTTGTGGTGCTCAGCCGCTGCCATCAAACCCGATTACTCTGCAGCCTTCAGGTCAGCGACCTGATCTCCACGCTTAACGGGAAGGCTCAGGACAGGCTGCGGCTCAGGAGCCCGGGGAGGCTGCACCGTGCATCGGCATCGGCTTCCCCACCAAAACACCGGGCCGTGCTGCCGCAGGCGCGCTGCAGAGCTGGCCGAGGGGCTCACCCTGTCCCTGCTCTGCTCTCACAGACACCGTCAAGGAGCTTGGGGTGTGGGGCTCTTCAGGGGCTGTTCTTAACTCTCAGAAACATAAAAGTACTTAGAAATTTGAAAGCTTTCCAATAAGATAGTTGCCTGTAGTTATAGGTCAAATTAAGTATAAGGCTACAGCCATGTGGCCGCAACATCAATTAAATCCAGTTTTATAAGCTACATGCACGAGTGCAGATAAAAATCTGTTGTATCCTCCGGTTCTCTTTAATCTCTCATCAGAGAAACCTGATAATAATGCAGCCAGGGAGTCCTAAATGAAAATCCCTAAATTATTCCAGAAGAAGCTAGGTCAGAGCCAGGGGAGGAGGGACTCCTTCCCTGGCACCCTGCGTGGCGGGAGAAGCCGGGCTGATCCCTGCTTCCCGGGACAAGCCCTACCGACACAGCGCCCAACCGGCAGCAAGGACAGAAGGGGACTTCACTGAGCAACGACTACTGTTTTCTTACAGATTAATTGCAGTCTTCTGCTTCAGCTACACAGTTTGGGGTAGGGCAGGAGGCCAGAAGGACAGCTCTTCGGGTCATGCAGTGTTAGAGCAACTAGGTGAGTTACTGCATCTCTGCCGAGATGCTCTAACAACGACTCTGCCTAGCTCTGCTATGGGGAATGCTGCAACAGAGCAGGGAGAGAAAGCAGAGGATAAAACAACCTGCAAAGCCAAAAAGAGAGGCAACTGTAAGGGGTGTTGGTTACGTGGCATTTGTTATGCTTTGACGCTTCAAAGCCCCTGTTCAGGGTGAGAGGAATGGCTGGACGTACCATCTGCAGAAGCGGGAGTGAGAGGGATGTACTCCGTTGACGTCTGGCTGGTCAAGGACACCCTGGCTCCGGTCAGGTCGATTTTGGTGCTCCGGCAGGTGTTGGAACAGACCTTCGTGTGCTGGTAGAAATCCAGTTCTCCAGAGTCCATGATCTTCCTGCGAAGTCAGGGAGCAAGCACAGGGACCGGCATGTCAGCAGGAGCCGAGAGCACCGAGACGCAGCTCCTGGCATCTTTCACCCCCAAACTTCTCAAAAACCCAGATGAAAAGCAAAAGCCAGGAGAACAGGCAGAGGCAACAGTCTGAATTTCCCTTAAGTCCCCCTGTGCCCTGACCTTAGAGGCAGCATCAACCGAGAGTTAATTAAAACAGTATCCACAGCCTGCTCCATGCTGTCCACACGCACAAGTCCAACAACCACGCAGTACTCCAGTGGTGGTAAAGCCTTTCAGGAGGCTGGGATGGAGAGAAAAGGGCCCATCGTGCTGCAGCTGCTGTACAGGACTGGAGCAGATTCGGTTTCTGACAACTTCCCTGCCACGTCTCGCATCCTCCCGCAGGACGGAGGAGGGGGAGCAGGACTTCAGCCCTCTGAAAAGGTTCCAGTCCAAGTCCAACCCAGAGAGGATGAATTTCCTTAGTGCAAGAAAGTCCTTTTCTTTGCCACCGGAACACTCTACTTGGGCTGAGAGGCTCAAGAGACACGTGAGCTTTTCCTAAGGATATATCCTTGTAAAACTAAACATACCTTGAGAAGCATCGGGAAAAACCACACTGCTCTCAGCAGATCTTCTGCTGGTTAGAAGCCTTCAGGGAGAACGTACTGTTTGGAGCCCAAACACTGCCATTCCCGTAACAGCAGCGAAGTGGGGGGAGCTTTTCCCTGTCATTCTGGGCCATGCTCTCATGCAGCAGTTTTACCCCTGCCTTGCGATGCTGAAGAGGGTCCTCCTCCCTGGGATCTCCTGACCTGCTCTGAGGACATCCCCTGCCTCTGTACGAGCAACACACACCCACCCTGAGCGGGTTTCAGAGCGGGTCCCACCTCTCTGAGCAGGCTCTTCTGCATGGAGGTCTGTAATTTTAACTAGGAACCCTTGCTGGGACTGATGAGCTCCTGGTTCATTGAGGGAGGAAGGAGAAGAGAAAGTCCCAGTCTGGCCCCACCAGTGCCTTCCCCCCACGCACGCCTGCAGCTTCCAGAGAAGGGTCAGCTGAAGTTCAGGGTGAGACAGCAGGAAGTCTCTTCCTTCCCTTTTTAGCTCTACACCTCAAAAAGAGATGGGGCATAACCCCATTTATAAACTAAAATAAGGTCTCTCAGCTTAAGCAAAGGAGGTTGCAACACTGGCATATGTGATCTTCCCAGTCTAAGCGCGTTGGCTCCAAAGCATCCCCAGGCTTTGCTGGCCAACAGCAACCTGAGCTTCCCAAGATTTGCTCCCATGGGCTGCTGGGCTTGCCTTCACACATTCCTCCTGAAGTTTTTTTTTTTTTTCCTTGAAAGACCTGCCTTGCCAAAGCGTAAGCCTATTATGCAAAACCTACTTGGAGCAAAAACTGCTTAGAAGGAATACGGGAGACGCCTGCATTGAAGCAGAAGACGACAGGCAAAGGCAATGTCACCCTGTGAAAAGAGTACAAAACCACTGACAATTCCTGGGGAAAGAGGTGATGCATTTTTATCCTGCCTCCAGGCAGAGACAGACTTTAATTAAATCACAGTCTCAAGCTGGTGTTCAGGAAGACCATAGAAGAATTAAATTGCTGTAGTTAAGACTAGAGAAGAGAAATGCTTGCATAAATAAGCTTTAAATAAGTTATTGGGGGGAAAAAAAAAAAGTGATATAAAGCAGGCATGGTGCAACGGGAGTGTTAGTTCATGATCAGACCTCCATTTGGTAGGTCACACTGAGAACCCATAAACAGCATGGCCGGACCACCACTGGCTGTTAAAATTTGCAATGACCTTATGCCAGCTGGGAACTCTGTGTGCTTCAAGTCCTAAAAAGACCAGGGAAGCATTTGTTGCCCCAGATTATTCCCTAGGCACAAGGATAAAGCAAAGCCATTGGGCAGACCACATTTGGGACCACGCTGTTAAAACCAACATTCAGTGGTGCATTTGCCGGCTCAGCAGCAAAACAACCATGCCAAAGGCTCTGTTCCACCCCACCGTTATCCCCCAGAAAGAAGAAGTCTCGGCTGTCGCTGTGCGGATACAAATGAAGAGACTAACCGGAGCATGATCCCGTTCATCCGGATCGCCCGCTTCCAATCCTTCAGGGTTGACTTGCCCGCCAAGTGGACAAACTCCTTGGGACTAATCAGGTGATCGTCAAACTGCAAGAGGCAGAAGTGCAACATCAGCGTGACAAGCCATGAAATAACGAAAGCGTGCCCCCGCGAGCGTGATTCAGCAGCAAAGCCAGGCTGCCTGGACGGCATTTCCCGGTGCCCAGCAGCAGAGCGGAGCTGCATCGCAGCCTCAACATGCTGTTTAAATAACAGCACCAGAACAGATGGCTGACACACGCTTCCCCACCTTAGAGAACATTGACCGAGTTAAAAAAAATTAAAGCCAAGTGTCGCTTTCATGGTTGGTTAACAGCTGCTCAAAGCCAAGGGTTTGGCGGTGTGTGCAGCGGAGGAGTTCGCTAAATGCCCAGCCCAGGCAGGATGGCCGGGAAAAAAACAACCCGTAGCTTGTGCAAATTATTATTAGCAGTGGTGAGCTGCTCATGCTCCCACCAGCTCACGAGAGCCGGGCTGCCCCGGCGACGTTTGGGTCCGGGGCACACTATGCCCTGCGCGGCCGAGGGAAGGAGAAGCCCATTCGCTCTTTGACCTTCTGGTACCGAGCCCAACCATCGATATCAGTGAAACCTCTGGCCTCTCTCAAAGCATACAGCCACTTCTAACGAAATCCAGCTTTAAGGAGTTGGCACACGCTGTATCGGCAGCCAGCTCTTCCCCCTTCTTTTACTGCCCTCAGCTGTGCCTCAACCCACGTGCTGGCCTAAAAGCAACCTGCAGAATCAGGCAGCCCTCTAAAGAGCTGCCTTCCAGCCCATCTCAGAAGGGATGGCTCAAGTCCTGGCCGCCTCTCTTCAGTGCCCATATTGACCAACGTAGAGCTCACTCACCATTACTGCGTGAGAAACTGCTTCTCTGAACTAGCGCTTGGGCTTTGGTGCAAAGACAAGACTGATTTTAGGCAGCAGCATTTTCCGCAGCAGCACCTGTCCTCTGCCTCGGGGATGGAAAAGACCATCTCAGGACACAGTACAAGCTCTTCAGTAGGTCCCCTACTGACAAGCTTCTCAACAAATTCTCAACTTTCAAACTGAGCAGACACTGGAAGCGCCCAAATTTCTCAAACTCTCCAGCAATGCAGTTAAATTGAGGCAGCATCTCTCCAGCCAGGACTGCTCAACTCGGCCGAGAAGACAACTATCAGGCACAACAGTAACAAGAATTTCCTCCTCTCCCACCACGATGTGGTTCTGATGCAAAGCAGCTTACCAAAGCTCACCAAAACCAGGACAAGCCAGGTGAGCCTGTGGTGTGGGCATGGGAAGGCATGAGTCCAGCGTCAGGGTTCTTTATTCTCACCTGCACACACTTCACGTTGATCCCAGGGCACACAAACTTTCTCCAGATGAGGTTGGCTTTGCTGTCTCCGCAGGTGATGGGGTAGACAATCTCTGCCTCCAAACTGTCCTCATCTTCAGCCATCTTCACTTCTCACAGGGAACAGAGGAAGGAACAGATCGAGAAGAAACATGAGTCGCAGCCCCCGATTCACCACCCTGATGCACACAGACAGTGATAAAGCAGTTTTGAAGCTCAGGATTAAAAAAAAAAGTAGATGATGGATGACGGGGTGCGTTGGGGTTTGTGGCCACCATTCACTTCCACTTTGCTACTAAAGCATCCAACCACCCAAATTTTTCAGGCAAAACAGTACAGCAGATATACTGATCTGGCCGCAGCTGAGCGCGTGAAATCTGAGAAGTCAGTAGCCAGGCCTGAGAAAATTCAACTCTGGATAAAAATAAAAGGGATTTTGTTGTTCAGGTAATTAATACATTCACCTTTGGTTTTAGAGTGCAGCTGTTTTTAAGGCAGCTCCAGCCCAGCTGGTTACGGTCTTTGCTCACTAAATCCACTTTTACTTGTAACCAAAGCCTGCGAGTTTGCTGCAAAACTGACATCCCCATCGCAAGCTGGAAGGGCAGGAGCCGGCGAT